TCTATGTCTCTGTCTCTGTCTCTGTCTCTGTCTATGTCTATGTCTATGTCTATGTCTATGTCTATGTCTATGTCTATGTCTATGTCTATGTCTATGTCTATGTCTATGTCTATGTATATGTCTATGTCTATGTATATGTATATAATACAGGTGTATGTACATACGCATGACCCTCATCTCAGGTCCCTTTGAACACTGCGAATTTGGACAGCAGTTTGCGTTCCCGCAGAACTGCGGGCGCAGCTCGACAACAGATCATATTCCAACGCTGATTCAGCAGCGTGCCACGATGGTGATCTTGAGTGGTTCTTGTCCAGGCACTTCAGATGTCAGCTACCATTGCATCAATGAGAGGGGCCAGCGACTTCGGCAGGAGCTAGCCGCTCAAGGGGACATGCTCTGCACATGTGCATGGCATCATATTGGGCCATAGGAGAGGTTGTTACTGAGTCATTGGTTTTCAGCCAGGTGATAAGCTGCCAAGAGTTTGCGCACCTGCCTGCAGCAACAATCGTCCAGGCACCGACACAGACAGCGTGTGGAGTGCAGCTAGAACCGGACAACGGTACAGGCCCAATGCATGTTGGAGTCGACGCTGTGATCTGTGCCACAGGCTGGGGCTCTTCCAGCATGCCTGCTTTGCGCCCCGAGCTGAGCATGGTACGTTCCGCAAATTCTCAGCCCAGAATGATATGATCCGCTTCCAGGCAATGGTGATGTTCAGCGGCCTCCTTCCTTTGCACGTATCCTCAACGTGTAGGTCCACATAGTGACATAGTGCAGATGACGAAGTCACCAATGCCAATATTTCCGCCGCCACTGGCAACTCAGCGTCGGCGAAGGGAACCTAGAAGATGCGAGATGATCCAGTGAAATGTCGGTTCTGGTGCTGCTTAGAGTCAGCTGTGTGATCAGCGACATCTTGCTGTCGGTAAGGAGCTGGCCTGCATGTAGGTAATGAAAGAGAAAGCTTGCATGCTTGACCACGAATGATCCGCAGCCGTTGGGCAGCTTGGGTCTTCTGGTGGAGGGGTAGCAGTGCCCCTCGACGCTAATGACAGATGCCAAAGAGCTGGCAGCTTGGTGTGTCTTTGACTCGTGTCAAAAAACAACGTTGCGGCTTGTCGGGTCACACTGCTAGAGGCATTCCTGAAATCCGCAGCGGTGTGGCTGTGCAGAGCAGCCTGCAACTGAGACAATCTCCTCCCCAGGCACAACAAGTGGTAAAGTGAGTGGTGAGATCAAGACTCAGATCAACGCAAGTTGTGAGCCGAGGCTTTGTTGTCCCAGCACTGTGAGTCTACATGCAGCGAAGATCTATCTTTGGTGGGATCCGGCCTTGGAAGGGAACGAACTCTAAACGGGTGCAGTCAGTTGTGCGACGACATTTTCAGAGCTGTGGCCCCAGGCGGAAATCCAAAGCTTTCACAAAAGATGTTCGCTTGCAGGCTTTCTGCACTCACTGGCACCAGTCGCACCACAACGTTTTTAAGCCGGGAATTGAGCTCACTCCTGTGTCTCCATTTGTGGCGGAGTCAGGCGAAGGAGGAGTCCAAAACTCCCGTTGACATTGAGACTCAAGTCAAGTCGCCTCGGCACGTTTCGTCTGAAGAGCTGACGGTGCGCACCTTGCTCTTGTGTCGTTTGCCGTGTTTGCTTGAGGCAGCTGGTCCAGCAGCATGGTCGTCTACATGCGAAGACGTTGACGTTCATGAACCACCAAGCCTTGGATTGAAGCTCAGCAGTGACGGAGCATGTTGTCGGTGTCGGACTTCGAAGCCGTGCAGACTTGACCTCGTTGTCAGGCTTACCGAGACATGGACAAGAATGAAGACGCCTTGCAAGTGTACCGAGAGGCAGGACACTCTGATTGAAGTCCTGCATCATGTATTGCTAGATTTGGACGGTTTCCGCCTTCTCAGCCTTCACATGGTCCTTGTTTTCCTGAGCAGATCTCAGCTTTGCTACTGTTGACTGCATTGTTCCTATAGAAGACTGCCGGCAGTATTTGTTCGATAGCATGTAGGTGTCAAGCGCATGGGTGAAGGAAGGGGAGACTACTCCGTCGGACTTTGTTCCTTATCCTTACGACCGAGCCAAATGAAACGCTCTGGAAGCATTTTTTTTGACTGTGCACGGTCACCGTTTTCATCATCTTGTCATTCCGCTCAGCATATTCAATTTTGCGCTCGCCAAGTCTGCGGATGAAAGTATAATATGCTGGCAAGACAGTTCACGTGAAAGGCCTCCAGGGCCATACATCTCGCTAAACAGCCTGAAAGAGCGTGACTGGACTGCCTCTTGTTTCTCGCGGCCGCCAGATGAAAAAACAGCGGGATCTGTTCATGATCTGCTGTGTTTGCACAGGTGCACGACGGCTGCAAGCAGACGCTGGGGATGCAGCATCCCTACACGCGTGATCCTTATCAGTTCGCTCGATACTCTGTGGCCGGGAGGAGCCTTTTGTTGCAACGTTTCGTGGAGGGAGCAAGCAGAGGGCCTCAGTGCCTCGGCTCAGAGAGCTCCGATATCTCCGCATCCGCCAGAAAGCCCCCACTTTTTTAAGCCAGGTTGGCCAGTAAAAAGTCGCAAGCATCACAGGCTGGTGCAAATCTGTCGCCCAAGAAAATCGCTGCCGATCGCCCAAAGTGATGCACCATACAAAGCACCGTCTGCTAATTTCCTGATAGCATGCGCAAGCACTGACCAACGGAAGTTCAGGCAGGTGGTCTGGTGTTTTAGTTGGTCGTGGCAAGTCTCTCCACAAGATCAGGCGCAAGCGTTCTCGTTATGTAATGACTGTGCCGAGCCCGGCCAACTACAGAAGGATCGATGGCGACCGCGTTCAGAAGGGAAGATGGTTGAGTTATTCGGGAAAGGCGGTATGTATCAGAACTCAAAGGTTCGCTGGAACTGGCATAGAGACATGCAGTCAGCTAGAGAGATGGATCGTAGATGGCACGGCCCGTCTTGAGGCTTGCAAGCATTTCCAATCTGGCGAACATACTCTTCGAAATGGACCGACTTCAAGAGGTGGGGATCATGGGCGAAGAGCTAAGTGAGGCCTTGCCTGTCTTCCGTTGTGCAGGCAAGGCCTCTGCTAGAGGAGGCACTCGAGAGGCAGTCGGAAATGCTGGGCTCCAGGCCGCTGCAGCTTTGCATCATTGTTCCGTGTTGTAAACTTGCCAATCTGTTTGTCTCTTCTACCCGCCAGGCATTTGGACACGCTGCAAACTGCACACAGCTTGGCACTCCTGTTGGAGGAACAGGGGGAGTTTCACAAGGCACGGAAACCTGCCTGAGCGAGGCTGCCAAGAATGTGCCTTGCTTCCACTGGGTTTGAGATTGAGCCAGGAGCAGTTATTGACTTGTGAAGACAGACTGTCCGTCGCGACGTTGCTTCGATCGAGTGCTATGGTTTGTGGCTTCACCCCGCAGCTCGCATCCATGCGGCCAGCATCAACATGGAAGCCCATGCAAATCCCATGGCTCAGATGTCGGAAGTGCAGTTGGCCAGATCTTCATGTCTTCTTAGGAGCTTTCCCCATGTTCCTTCCGCTGTACGTGCTTCAAGCGCAGTAGACAGCACAATGAAGTCAACAATCCTTTCTATCTGTTTCAAAGGGCTATTGTTTTGAGGCACAATGGCGCACGGCACGCGTAAATTGCCATGCGGCCTTGTGGCACCTGTCTTTGTGATGGCCCCGATGGTGAAGCAAAGTGAACGACCTTTCCGGGCAATGGTGCGGTCACACGGCTGCTCCCTTTGCTACACGGAGATGTTCATGGCTGACGAGTTTGCCGCCTCAGCTGAGTACCGCAGGCGCGCGCTTGGGGACGGAGTTGATGATGCGGATCATCCTCTTTTCCTTCAATTTGCTGCAAATGATCCGCAAGTGCTTCTACAAGCTGCTCTTGCAGCTCAAGAACTCGGGGCAACTCAGATGCCACACATGAGACAACAAATGCACTGCTGTTCTGAATCACTGTATTCTGTCACTGACCATGTCGGTGGTTTGTTCGTTTCAGATGTGTGAGCCTCCTGGATGGGCCTTTAAGGCAGATGGTGTCGACCTCAATCTGGGCTGCCCTCAACGGCGAGCTAGAGAGGGCAGATATGGAGCTTGGCTGGCCAACGATGAGCATGAGTGGCCGATGATTGCCGAGATGATTTCGGTCTGCAGCCGATGTGCAGACCTTCGCATTCCGGTTTGCTGCAAGATTCGTTTGCAGCATACATTGGCAGGGACCATCAAGTTTGCCAAGCTCTTGCAAGAAGCCGGATGTCCGCTGCTGGCGATTCACGGACGCAAACTGCTGTGCAGCAAAAGCAAGCACCGTGAAGGAGCCGCCGATCTCGGTGCAATCGCTGCCGTCCGAGACGTTGCTTGTCGACAGTGGATATGGTATTTTAGGTAACTTACAGGAACTTCCTGTATGTTTGAGGGCATTCAGTTTGTTTTTGGCCTCGGGCGAGTTTTAGGCACTGCAGATCCCGGTGTTCACGAATGGCAACGTAAGATCTCCGGCTGACATCTTTCAGAATCTTGGCCGTTGCAGAGAGACCTGTCGCTTTCCAAGGTTCAGATCCGCCACTAATCTAAGCCTGAATCTGTTTGTCCTGCATGGGCTTCGGAAACAGCACCACAGAAACCCGATCGAGCAGGAAATGAGCAGATTCGGAAGACGATAAGAGCTAGACAAGCATGGAGCTCAACAGAACCTATTATGCAGTAGAAGAAAGACATCAAAGACCAGCCAGAGCTTTGCTTGCGAAAGGTGTTCTTGCACACCAAGGCCTTCGGTGCGTTTCGCCAAAAAAGCAAAGAGGCTTCGGCTTAGGCCTGGTTTGGGTTTGTTGCTGCTATGTGGACATGGACAGTGTAGCCGGAAGCACGATGTCTGAGAAAACTCTCGAAAACCCTGGCAGTTCTTTAGTTTTGCAAAGTTCATGCACGTGGATGCATGTGTCCAGTGCCAGACATGGATCTCATCTCCAAAGAATGCCCAGCCAAGGAACTTGAAGGCAACGCAATGTGAGGGCATCATGTGTGCAGAGCAGCTTCTCAACGATCCAGCCCTTTTCCGTCGAGCCCTCGATTGGCGACCAGGGTTTCCGTGTCCGGGGCCGTCGTCGGAAATGTTGGTCGACGAGTATCTTGGCCTCTGTTGTGAGTATGGCGCCGAAGACGAGACGGTCTCGTTTTCTGTTTGGGGTGCAACCAACGGCCACGTGATCCGGGAGCATGTTCACAGGACCGGAAAACAAACACTGTTCAGCACAGATCAATGACAAAATTCCGCGTCTCTGCAGCTGTTCAGGATGCGCTCCCTCAAGGGCCCCGACGCTTATTTGTCACTGCCTGGTAGGCTGCTTGACTGCATGTCTGCACCAGTGCAACCTCTACGCAACTCGTAAGCATGCGGTGCGATGGTGAAGCTCAAGCTAAGGAAGCGCTGTTTGGAGCAGACAGACGCAGAATCCTAGCAGGTGAAAGAAAAAGGGTTCTGCGGCAACGTGCCTTTCCTCATTCATCAGTTCTTGGTTCCTTCTGTTTGGGATGCTGGAATGCAGGCCGAGCCTTTGTACATACGAGCCTATGAGGGCCAAAAGGCCAGCTGCTGTGCGATTTCAGACCGTCGGTTCTGCGACGGTCTCTGGCAGTCCGCGCTGGGTCCGAAGAATCCGACGGTGTTGCAAACCGGGGTAAACCTCGCTGGTCTGAAGCAGGCCGTGGCTATGCCGTGTTCCCGTCCTGGGGCAAGCTCAAAAAGCTCAAAAAGCTCCTTGAAAGGTACTTGGGAAGCTCCAAGAGGCAGAGGACCTCGACAGAGAGGCCCAAAAGCCCTTCTACTTCAGTAAGAGACTGGACATGGCCTCTGCACTTTCTCTGGCCCTGGTCCTTCAGTGGTGACAGCGCTTGGTCTCTTCATTTCAGAGGGTAGCCTCAAGCCAACAGAGAGAAATTTGTCAGGTAGATGCCGTTGTTAAAGTATTGGACAATGGAATGTCCCAAGATGTTTGCAAACGTTTCGTAGTGATTCGAGATTGACTAATGGCGGTGTAAGTCTTTCTTTTTGTCTCTCTCTCTCTCTCTCTCTCTCTCTCTCTTTCCCTTTCTCTCTCTCTCTCTGCCCGAGCCGCGTGCACATAACCTACCTTCGAAATCACCAAGCGAACTCCTTTGTCTAAGATGGGTGGGGTCTTATGTGGCAACGGTGCAGATGAACTTTCATGCACGGTATTGCTTGGCTGAACGGCTGATGCATATAGATGATCGAGTTTCGAACACAGTTCCAGATTCACCGATGAGGGAGATCTTGCGGTAGAAGCCGCCGGAGGTGATGGCTGGATGTCGAGAACTGCTCGGCGACCGCGATGTTCAGATGCTTCAGAGTGGGAACTCTTTAGCAAGGCTGTGACGGTCTGTCCTTTCAGAATCTCGGACCAGTAATCTTTCCAACTTGCAACACGTTGCAAGGCTGCTCCACGAACAGGGTATGCTGAAGGAAGCCGAGGGGTTGTTGCAAGAGGCAGGCTGGTTGTGAGATGGTTTGCATGTGTTTCAGCTACGTTGCAGTAGTGGACACACACACACACAATTGTCGCATGTTCGTCTTGCTACTGGAGAACCGAAGGTCTTGATACGATTTGGTCAAACCTTGGTCTTAAGCATTGAATCTTGAGATCTACAGGACCTCACCTCGTAACTCGCAACCGTCCCAACGAACTTCAATAGCTTATAGCCGACCTGGCGACGCAGCTTCAGGGCGCTGTAGGTGAAGTAGAGCATGGGTCCTTCCCGAAATCCGTGTGGAGTATCGACAAGCGGCAGAAGGAAAATTGTGCCACGGGTGTCCCAGCAGAATCGGTGGCTTTGTGCGTTTGGCAACTCAATTAGTCAACTAAGTAACTATAGCTTTCCGGTACAACGTGGTGACTCTCCTGCGTGGCATAGACTGCTGACGACGCTTCGACACCCTGTCTCTTGTCTGACCTGCCTGGAAGGTTCTGCAGGGTCGCATAGAACTTCTTGGAGACAGGGATCCTGCAACCTTGACGAGCCTGAACAACCTGGGTGGTTTGCTGCGGTCTGAGATCGGGGCTGCCCATTTGATCTCTCTGCGTCACCGGAGCATCCAGCTTGAAGCTTTTCTCCCAGGTACTACACGTGGGGACGGTTCGGCGAGGACTGCACATTGCCCTCGTTTGCTTCTGTGCGGTCTTTTGCACGATGGCATGCTCGCTTTCTCTGTGTCTCTCTCTCTCTCTCTCTCTCTCTCTCTCTGCGTCTTCCCCTCTTGCTTCTGCACGCAGCGCCGGACAGTCGGGGAGGCCGAGCCTCACTTCTTTTCGGCTTTGGAGGGACGCAGGGCAGTGCTGGGCCTGCTGCATCCAGACACGCATAAGACTTAAAAGCTCGCACGAGACCTGCTTGTGAGCTCTGTATTTCTGATGTTGCCAACAATGTCTGTTGCTAAGGCTGCAAAGCGCCAACAATCTGGCCTCATTGTTCCAGGCCATGCAGGGCATCCTAAGCTAAAGTTGGAGCTGGACATGCATTTTATTTTGGAGAGTGACTTTGTTTGTTTTATTCAGTGAGCTTATTCCAAGGCGCTGAGCGATGTGTTCAGCAGAGGTTTCTTGCCATGTAAAAACATGCATCGGTCAGGTTGTGTTTTGTTTTGTAGTGCGTGTAGGGCACGGGATCAGGCGAATCACAATGCCAGAGCAGGTGTGTGGAGCGTGTCCTGCCATCGTTTCACCACCAGGTGTGATCGTAGTTGCGACATCCATTCACCAGTTCACCTTTCCATTCTGACCAAACATCCAGCTCATCGTTCTATCTCCTGGGCCAGTACAGGGAAGTCAAAGTGATCACCGGCCAAAGTAACCACGCCAGACCTCAGTAAGCCCTTTGCTCGACCTGTCCCGCAGGTCAGGTTAGTGGCAGTCGCACAGTGCAATCCCTGTTTTGAGGAACCGATTGACCCTCGTGTACTTTCTAGTATTGTCTTCTTGCGCCGGTAAATAGCAGAGCCACACATAAAACCAGAGGGCACACCGAAGAACACATAGAGCCCGAACGAAAAGCTGAAGAAGAGATGCCTGCTAGAGTGAAAGGCAAGAGGACGGCTGGACAAGGCCTGTCCATCAGCCGTGGCATAGCAGCAGGAGTAGTGTGGCAGAGTGCAGAGATATTTCTGTGAAGCACGGGTCTCAAGACAGGCGGAGCCCCTCTTCCGAGAGTCATTGGACGGTCGTCGAGAAGTGCTCGGAGTAAAGCATTCGGACACACTGACGAGCTGTAGCAATCTCGCAGTGCTCTTGCCCGGCACTTATTCGATCGAGCCGGGCGAGAGGTTGTTGTAATTGCCTGACGTCGCCCAGGCATGCGATGAATCAGCTGCAGGAGGCACTTGGACGGAACACTGGAAGATTGTGTCAGCTACGAATTTTCGGAGGCGGAAGAGCTAATGAAAGACGCTCTAGAAGGTCGCCGTGAGGTGTTGCCGGCTCAGCTGCATTGTGTACCCTCCACTGGCCGGTCTTCAAAGGGGTCAATGAAGGCTCGGCGATCATCACAGGGACACGCTGACGAGCATCAATAATCTCGCAGGGTCAGCTGTGTTCTGCTGCCCATTCTGCCGAAGTTCTCGTGTCCCGACTGCAGGCTCATGCGCTCCCGAGGCAAACATGTAGACGCAGAACTTCTCTATCAAGAGGCACGCAGCGGCAAAGGCTTTGTAGGCGGGCTCTGCACGAACTTCGAAGCGATGGCATCCTGGAAGGCACTGACAGGTCGGAAAAAATTGCTGGGAGACACGCATGTCGACACTTTGATGACGGCCAACAACTACGGCAACCCGCCAGAATTTGGACTTCGGGTGTAGACTGCACTGGTCACGGGACGCATCCAGCATGAGACACAGAAATCTTCACACCCAGGGCGATTGCGGTGAGTGCATTTGCAATCCCAAACACTCTTGAGCAGGCCTTTGCCTGCTCAACAGAGGCCTGCAAAGGGGCAAGAACATTAATTGCATGGTACAATGTCTGTCGGTTCTCTGTTTTCGGTTCAGGCGGAAGATGATATAATGCACTTGCCGCAGTACTTGATTCTTTGCTTTCGGTTTCTGGGAGTGTCAAGGGCCTTGTGTCGCAGGTGTACCAGATCCTTACATACCACGCAACTTACATTCTCATGTCCCAATGACAAGAATCGCAGTTGCGTTCCCGAGGAGGCAGCTGTATGCGTTCGATAGGGAACTATACAAATCCTATCTCAGGGCCGTGTAAACTTTCACAAAGACATGCTGCAGGATCTGAAGGTACTGAGGATTTTAATGCATGTAGAAACTGTTGTGCGATACAAGTTGCTGGACATCGTGACGTTTTGCAGGGAGTACAGGTTTACAGGGTCATGAATCTCGCAGTCTCCTGTTCAACCTCCGGGCATTCCAAGAATCGGCAGACATGCGAGCCCCTGCAACTCTGTTTGTCACCAACTTGCGCAAAGTACACCCAAGGAACCATGAGCATGTAGAGGCCCATGACCAGTCTTCTCATTACTGCATAAGCCTACTCAGAATATAGTCCGAAAGCAGTCGCTGCTTTCGTGTTTGACTATTGCTAGGATTCAAGTAAACTAGATGGACACATGCCTCCCCTCCCGCCCTCCCTCCCTCCCTCCCTCCCTCCCTCCTTCCCTTCACTTCCCCTTCCCTCCCTTCATTTTTCTTGTGCCCGCCTGTGCCAGGTTTGCTCAAGGAAGCAGAGTCGATTTTTGTTGAAGTGCTGAAGAACTGCCGCAACACCCTCGGAGCACGAACCCCAGATGTCGTTCCTTGGCGACATATCCCTGCACCAAGCAGATGAGCTGTGAGTGCGCCTAGGTCAAGCATTCCTACACGCTGACCTGTGCGAACAGCTTGGGCGGATTGCTGCACGAGGTGCGCAGAAGCTAGCATGGTGTGGTCTTGTGGGATGTGGGATCTCTGGCGCCCGCTCGGGAGTTGGAAGGCTTGCAGCTTTACGGGGTTTAGTCGGACCCTTTCCATCCTGTAGAAGCCTAGTCAAAGCTGTTGCGTCAGGCCGAGAGGTATGATGAAGCTGAGCCGCTCTTTCGAGAGGCTGTTGCGAGAAAGATAGCACCTGACGAATCTGCCTCAAATCCAGAGTCTGTTCCTGCACTTGGCAGTCTGCCGCATGTCAGGTGTTGTCTGGACTACGCTCTCAACTTGGGGACAAGCATCCAGACTCTCTGACAGGTGACTCGCTTGAGTCACAACTGCGTGTTCAGCCGTCCAGAGCAGGATGCCAACTTGCAAATCAGGTGCAAATAATTTGGCCGTCCTGCTCTTTGCAAAGGATGAGTATGCCAAGGACCGCACTGCAATCGTTGGGATTGAGCCTTCAAAGGAGAGCAATTTAATTTTTTGCTGGTTGGCATGTATGGTATTGTAACAGGTGTATGGTGCAGTATATCATTAGTCATTAGTAGTATCAGAAATGCATATAGCAAGAATGCTACATGATAGTGCCAACGATAACTGCATTCTCATTTCCTCAAACGTGTTGTTTTTTGTTGAAATTTCACTGTTTCAAACATGCTAGCATCAAAATGTGTAAAACCATAATCGATAATATCATTGAGTGAGTGCAGCTTCTTCATCAGGCCGCCGAGCTCTTTCAGGAAGTTCTGGCGGGTCGGAGATCACAGCCTGCATCTCAGACGCCAGCGCAACGCACATCTTTGCATGCGCTGCTCGTCTCGGGAATTCTGGTCAGCTGCTGTGAGGCTCGGGGACAAACACCCCGACACAGTCCAGGCCGCTCGCCACATGGCAGCCGCGCAGCAGGCGCTCGCTTGTTAGTTTTTTGTTTTGCGAACATATCCGTTGGAAGGCACAGAGACATCTGATGGAGGACCAGTCGGCGCCGACTGGAAGCTGGTGCGGCAGTCGCCCGGCACAAGCGCTGATGCTTTTTACAGTGACACTCACGTTCTGGCCCGGATTCCACCCTCAGGCAATCTTGTTTGCAAGCTCAGGTTCACATTGGTCTTTGGTTTGCTGTGCTGACCACTCCTAGGTGGCCGATCACACAAGTCAGGCCTTCAAGGGTTCAGTGATCAGGCCTCGGGGTGTCAAGTTCGGTAGCCGGGTCAACGCGCGATTTGCACCCGCCCCTGGATGCCTCCTTTGCCTCCTTTGTGCGAATGCAACATGCGCAGGGCGTGAGTGGAATCTAGTTGAGATAATGTAAGCAGCAAGCTGTATCCGTTTTCATGGGACCTTGCAGCGACTGCTGGGTTGCCAGCTCAAGAATTGGTTTGCCAAACGGCAAATTTCACGGTAAGTTTTGGATTCTTTATGAGGTCTGACTGCAGCAAGGAAAGGCTCTCGTCTTTCCAGCTGGTCTCACATCTTCGGGGTGTTGCTTCCGATCGCACTCGAATGAGCGTGCCAGCAACCCCTGAAACAGGTGCATAGGATGTTGTTCAGATAGGCTAGGGTGTGCATGGTTTGTGTTCTCTGTCTTATCGGTGTGAGGCCGTTTCTGTTTTCGAGCTGGTGACACTAGGCCGCAGACGAACGCAACAACAAAAAGGTGGCAGAATCATGATCACATTCAGAAAGATTTTGTTTACAGCCTTGGTACAGCTGCTCTTACGGCACTGCAGCCGGGCTCACTATATCTCACTATCCAAAGTCTGAGTTGGCCACAAGTTTAGGCATTTTCCGAATTCTTTCCAGACGAGGCACGCTTCGGGACCTGCAGAGCTCTGCCTAACTCTGCTTAATGTCCCTGCAAAGAAAGGCCATGCCAAAGCTGGCGCCTTGGGAGCCATTGCACACTTGGGCTTTGCTTCGTATTCCCGAGCAAGGTCTTGGAGTGCGTTACTGCACAAAATGTTGGGCCGTGGGCTTAGTGTGCTCTGGCGACGGAACTACATGCTCTGGGGTATAGCAAGTTGAGGTCTTTGGATCGCTCTTGGCCTCTGCAAGGCTGCTGCCCATGCACCCTGCGAGACTTTCTGAGAAAATTGCCGTGGAGTACTCGACATGTCGAGGTAGCAGAGGGTGCTGCGCTGAGTCTTGGTTTGCACACAGTCCCAACCAACCTGCTTGAGTGCACTGTCAGGGCCGGTGCAATGGTTTTGTTGTTCCACATGTGTACTTTGACTCGACGACTTTACAAGGAATCTCACAGTGACGAGCACTTCCAGGAAAACGCTGGCAAGCTGGTGCGGGGATTGCCGGAAGCCTTGGGCCTTGAGTGTGGCAGGAGCAACGGCAACATTGTCAGCTTCGAAATCAACGGCGAAGCGTTGACTGTGCCCACCGCCCGCGGCGTCAACCTGGCCGTCATCAACTTGGAAGCTTGGCTGCCTAGCCTGTTGAACCACAAGCTGTGGTGCTGTCGGGTTGGCAAGCTGGAGCTTCTTCGCAGTTTGAATGCGCCTATCCACGGTGCAGTGGCATCAAGCGGGTGAGTCAGAGTTTGCATCACGCGGCATGCATCTCGACATGATTGTCATGCTTCCTTCATTTTCTTTTTCACGGCTGTTGTTAAAACTTGTAGCACCTTGTAGTGCGATCTTTGTCTGTCGTGGAAAGGCTGGGGCAATCATAATCATCATCATCATCATCATCATCATACTAACAATCATCATCATCATCCGCATCGTCATCGTCATCATCATCATCATCCTCATCATCATCATCATCCTCATCATCATCATCATCATCACCGTCATCATCACCATTATCATTCTCATCCTCATCCTCGCCATCATCATCATCATCATCACCATCATCATCATCACTCATCAGCATCATCATCATCATCATCGTCATCATCTCACGGGAATCATCTGTGACAGCTCGCGCAACCGACAGGGGATCTGCTGGGTTACACACCCCCACACACACACACACATACGTACACTGTGCTTGTTGAGAGGGCTGCGGGATGAAGGATAGATAGGGATTTCGCCTCCTTGCACGCGTGAGAAGCTCGTGAGGATGGGTCGTTGGACTCTTTCCAAGTCTTTGACACGCACGCAGCAGGCTCGGAGGCAGCGCCACAAGTGCCCAGAGCACTCTGGGCTTCAGCTTTGCAGCCCCAACGTTGCAGTAAGGGGCATTCAGTGACGCCAGGACCTCGTGGCTTTCGTTCAGGGACTGGACAGCGGCAGACTGGTGCTCATGGGCGTGAGGGACGAAGCATCCAGACGCTTGGCCTCACATGGGCTTCGCTTTTGCTTAATAATCGTGCCTGGGATATTATTGTTGAAACCTGGCGGCGGCTGTGGAAGCTTTGCTTAAAGTTTCTGGAGTGCTGCCATGAGGAGAACTGTGAGTTTGCTGAAGCATTCTGATTGCTCAGTCTAGATCCAAATTTTGTAGTATGTGCAGCCTGGGCTTGGGTTTACTTGGCCGGCTTTGTTGTCTTCGTCGAGGCAACATGAGTGCGGCCGCCAAAGATGCGATCAGATCATGCGGCGCGAATTTGATTGACAGTGGGCTCCTGAAGCGTGCGGGGATCAGGGCGTGAGGCAGCTTGCAGCATTACAGTTTCAACGTGCCATGCACGGAGCTTCAGCAATGTCTCAAGGTTTGAGCTATCGTGGCTCCTATGCTCTTATCGGTGTGAAGGATGGAGCGGCATTGGCTGAGCAGGTCGCTTCATATCGCAATGGCCGATTGGTAAAACAACTACTGACCTGCGTGCAGGCCTTTGTGGACGGTGGCCCCATCGCTGTTGCGACCGCACTCTACAGTTCATTGGCAAGCACGTCTTGGGACAACGAAAACCAATCGACCAAAAGTGCAGTCAGTAGCTGCCTCGACGATGTGGGAATCCACTCGGAAACGAGATTCGAGCCGAGGTCAGACAATCAGTCACAATTTGACAGTGACAAGCACTTCCAGGAATTGTCATGCATTTCATCTGCCAAATCGTGCAATGCTTATCGCGACCTTTCACTAGTTACTAGTCCCGTCACAGGAGCAATGGCAATCTTGTGGAATTTTCTATTGATGGCCACGTGCTGGACGTCCAGACCGGCCGTGGCATGAACATCGCGGTGGTTCGCCTCGTTGTGGCCTCAGCTCGACATGCACCCATGCGGGTGCATTCCATGAACCTGTCCAAGCTTGTGCTCGGTTCATGCTGTTCAAGCATCTAAGCGATGATAGTTCATCGAGCTCTCACAGTTTCGTTCGTTGTTAGGGTGGTGTCATGGATTCTTTCAACGTTTTCGACACGCATGCCGTCGGATCAGAGGCCGTTGCCGTGCATTTCGCATCGGTGTTTCTTGACCCATGTGGTAGCTTGCGGTATTCGGCTCAGTTTTGCAGGCACTCGTTGCTCACATCGCCGGCCTCAGCAGTGGCTCACTCGTCCTCGCTGGGGTGCGTGATGAAGCCTCCAGCACCTTGCCTGGAATGCGTTGAGCGATTGAACATTTCTGGCCGCTGACAATGTTCGCAGTGTTCGAGCAAAGCTTGAAGTTTTTCATCCGTTCAGGAAACCAGTTTAGTGCACACATGCATGTCGCAACTGCCTCGCTTGTTTTTCTCGGCATCAGTGCCGCGTGTGTTTACAGCGCTGCAATGTACGACATCGGTTTGGGTGCTGCAGTGTCGTCGTCAAGCTGGTGCTAGAGTAAGCCCAGCCTTCGTTGTGCGCTGGCTGATGGCTTGGTGTCCGTGCCTCTTTGCTGTTTGCTCATGGTGGTGGTTTGCTAAGTGCAGTGAGGTACTGTACGAGCCGGAAGAAATGCGTTTCAAAGGGCAGTTTCATGGAAGACATGGAGGAAGAAGAAGAACAAGTGATGCAACTATGCATTTCTTGCAAGGGAAGCGCTCCGTTTCCGGTCTGAAGCGCGGGCGACCGGCCAAGGGTCGACACAAGCTGCTGCGCTACCCTACTGCCCTGCTGGGTCTGTTGAACATGTGTCGCAGTTGTATCGCGTCTGTTCGTTCGGGGTTTGTCTTTCGTGTGCTGTGTGCGTCATGGCAGGAAACTCGCATGTTTCGGTAACAGCACTTTTTCCTTGCAACTCGGCAGACTTCGATCTCCATGCCGATGTTTCTGATCTTGTCCAAGGCAACATGAGTGCAGCAGCCAAAGACGCGATGAGAATGTGTGGGTCAACTTTGATCGACAGCCCGTGCCTCGTGAAATGTTGCAGCAAGTTTACTAATGTGTTCTTGATTTCATCGAAGGCCTCAGCTATCGCGGTTCGTATGCCTTGGTTGGTATCAAAGACGGCCCTGCCTTGGCTGAGCAGGCCGCGATTGGTATAATGTAAGCAGTCTCAGCTGCTGACCTTGAGGTGTCATTGTCGTCTGGCTGAGTGTTACGGGTTTGGCATGGTTTGGCTAGTTATTCCGTAGTTGGCGTTTCTATGTCCAGCTGATTGACGTTGGAAAGCCCCAATGTGGTTTGGCTGCTTAGCTGTTCCAGTTGTTGAACTGATATCTACAGTTTCCGCATTCCCATCGGGAGGTTGCACTAGCCCAAATGGAAATGCTTTTCGCGAAAACACTGCAGTCCAACTGTGAGATCTAGGTTGTTTTCGTTACTGACTCTGTACCACGTGCCCTCATCACAAAGGTTCGTGCGAAACCGAAACGGCGTAGGCAGATGAGTGGCTTTGCAGTGCTCAACTGCCATCTTGCATGTCCTTTGCATCTGGTGAACGACGAACTCCGATTTATTCCGCTTGTAGCTCATTTGCTCCGGCCTGACCCTTCGCGGACGGTTCATAGGTCATGGCAACATTCTGGGATTTGCCTTTGCCCACTTTCGCCAGGCATTTGTAGATGGTGGGCCGATCGCAGTGGCGACAGCGATCTACAGCCGCTTGCCTGAGCTGCGTGCAGCTCAAAGTCATTCACCAGCAGCCTAGGTGCTGACAGCCTTCCAGTCATTACCACAACCCCAACGACTACAACTACAACCACTACAACGACGACCACTTTGACTTCTTTGTGCAGCTCGGCTGAGCTCGCAAAGTTCGCTTGCAGACTGTGCAGATCTAAAGCCTTTCACAAGGCCCGGCTGCTCCTCAGGCTTCT